ATACTCATGTTATATACTAAAAGCAAAGCTACATGCATGTGCTGGACAATTTTGAGTTTTTAAAGGGAACAAGGAAGCCGATTTAGTTCTACTTAACACCCCTATTCTTCATATTATTTTCTATTGAACATTTTCTTGCTGAACTTCCTATTTTATCCTTTCAGTTTTAGCAAAAGGAAAACAAATGCAAAAAGAATTAGTACATCACTTTGTAAGTTTAATCATTCTTTTTTGAAATCTGGTAAAATTCGTACTGTCAGCTTTACATGTTGTGTTTTCCTTCCACTTCTCATCCTCTACTGGAAACAAATTACAATGCAAATTTTTTATTTGGGAAACGCGTCCTGGCTCATAGAAAGAAGTTGAGGACTTACCTTTTGTCAATACTCGACTACTTAAAAGCAACATGCCTGTCTTTTAATTATAATAAAGTTGTTTAACAAAGTTATTACTCTAAATGTCTAGTGAGAAGGTGTCTTAAATCCATATTCCAAAATGTTGTAAGACTCAAAAACTATTAACCTACAGAAACCACTCTGATGTATTGTCCCATTGACTCATTCCTTCTATTTTTTATTACCAGGTTGCTTCATATAAGCTTCGTATTCCTAGCTACTCTTTCTACAGTACTGATGGTTCTTCATGACCAAAGGGAGAAGAAAAGCGCTCTAAATTTTAACCTTAAAAAAAAAGAAGAGAAAATATTCTACATGCTTGGATCTCACAGGATGTTAGTTTCTGAAAAAGAAAGCTAATTTCATTTATTCTACCTCTAATACCATTTTACAAGGCAAGATGGAAAGTGGACTGTCAGGGCATGGGTTACTACTATTTCTTCCTAGCTTCATGGGACGATTGTCACATTTCCCTGCAGACCTGTAGAATTACTACGGAGGCCTGGTTGAACAGGCAACTTGAGTTTTTCAGGGACATCAAATGTGGAGATCCTATGACTTTTTCATATAAAAAGACCATGAGGGGCACCTGGGCAGCTGGGTTGGTTGGGTGTCTGCCTTTAGCTCAGGTCATGATCCCATAGTCCTGGAATCAAGCCCCAAGTCGAGTTAGGCTTCCTGTTCAGTGGGGAGTCTGCTTCTCCATCTCTCTCTCCCCGTGGCTTGTGCTCTCTCTCTCTCAAATAAAAATAAAATCTTAAAAAAAAAAAAAAAAGACCATGAAACCAGAAAACAACTTGATCCTAACAAACAGGAACTAGAGTTTGCTAATACTAGGCGCTCAAGGAAAGCAAAGGAACTGAAGTATTGTCCCTTTACGGTTTACAGTCTAAACGGAAGTGACTATAGGTAGGTCAACTTTTATCCTTCAAAGAAAAGAGCAATGTTTGGTATAGTCTGATCTGCTTCTCCTTTCCCTATTCAGAGAACCCTAGATCAAACTGGAAGAGAGACAGAACATCAGTTTTCTTGAATTGTTTTGCATCTGTGAACCAAACTTCCCAGCACCAGATACCAAATTAGCATAAATTAGCATAAAAGTGAAAGGTCTTTTATGTATATCTGTGCCAGAGGTCACTTAGGTATAAACTGTGCAAGTAGAATATACTAAAGAACCCTCCAGGAAACTTTTTGTGGCTAGGATCTACTATCCTGTATAGGTCACAATTTTCTTAATCTTTATAGATCTCTTACTGTATATAATGACATTGACACATCTTTTTAAATATGAATAAGGAAGTAGAGGTACCAAAAATACTGCTCTTGTCCACAGTGAATGAAGAGAAGTGGGTGTGGGAGACGGGTGGGTGAGATTCAGGATAAGCGCATACCTATCAAAGCAAAAGGCTGACAATATTAAAATAGCCCAGTCGTCCCTTTTCAAAAAAAAAAATGGTCACTTGGCTAAATGGCTAAGAAGAAAACACCAGAAAAACATTGACTTTTACTAGGCACTAATAATCGTCAGACTTCTGCAACAGAAAAGAGTTTAAGGGAAAGATCTATCAAAAGGACTTCCATTTCACTCATTAAATACATCTTCTTAAGGGGTGCCTGGGTGGCTCAGTCGTTAAGTGTCTGCCTTCGGCTCAGGTCATGCTCCCAGGGTCCTGGGATCGAGTCCCTCATCGGGCTCCCTGCTCCGCGGGAAGCCTGCTTCTCCCTCTCCTGCTCCCCCTGCTTGTGTTCTCTCTCTCGCTGTCTCTCTGTCAAATAAATAAATACATCTTCTTAGAGGTCCTTTCCAGCTCTAAGAACTATAGACTTCATCTCCCCTCACTTACAACCATTACTTCAGGTATTTGCTATTATTCAAAAAAGAAATGGATGTAAAAATAAATCTATCAATATGGATTTTTCTCATTTTAAGTTCTACGCTTCTAATTAATCATGGCCTGGGTTTAATTCATTCAAGATTTTTTTTTTTTTAATTCAAGCACAAGGTTCTACAAGCCCATGATGCTTTCTCTAAAATTATTCTAAGGCTGAAAAATGCCCAACAAAGGTAGAATAATCCAGTAAAAGAAAGGGTCTGTGCTCCTGAAGAGAGAATGGAATCATATTGTATCGTGGTAAAGAGAATTCTATGAATGATGTGGCCAATCATAGCATCATCTGTCTGTGGGTTACAGAACAAAATTCATCAGTCGAGTTCTCTAATGAGATGCCAAATTATCACACAAAATTGTTACACTAGCAAGCTCTCTCCAGATAGCACTATTTGCAAGCGTCATTCCAGATTTTAGTCACATCCATAGTATCAGGATCAACCTCTTAGTTTATTCTTTGCCACAAAAATCACTTAATTATCTAAAATGTTTCCCAAGGACCAATATGAAGGGTGATTAACTGTAGCACAAGTTGGTCCGTCTCTTCAGGATCCAAATCAGGAACAGAATTCACTTACTTTCTCCCCACTAATCTATTTTGATCATTTTTCAATAGGAAGTTGGGTTTCTCATTATTCATCCAGCTACCTTAATATTTCTAACACTTAGTAACATTTCAAGGTACCAAAGAGAAATTCCTACTCTTGGAGGATGATAGAAGCAGGAGTAGTAATTAGAAATTACTGTAATCACTATAAGCCTTTAGAACCTAAGAATCACCCATGGTTGATTCTTAACAGGACACTTAGAAAGCTTCCTTGGTCTGTTAGCAAAATTAAGGGAAAACACCTCCTAAATGCCCTGTAATCATATGACAGACTAGTCTTTGCTGGGTTGACATTTCTGTAAGTTCAATTACCCCTTCTTTCCTTCCAGAAAATTACAAAAATCTTTGTGCAGGGAAGGGTCTCTAAAGATTGGAAGACTAAGAAAGTGGATGGTTCTGCTTATACTTCCCATCCCCTTCCTTAAATGACTCCCCACCCCAAAGGCCATGAAAATTGGAAAGCATTTCATTAAGAGGAAGGCTTACGGCTATCAATCTTTTGCAAAATACTTCATCAGAAAAATCCCAGGGTGTTTCTCCAGTAGAACATTTTCTTCCCTGTCCACTTCGGTTTGACCGATGCTCTTATCTGTTGTTACAGGCATGGCTAAGGTTACAGAAGCTGGACAGAATTTAGAATGTAAGGCAACCCATGTCAACACATGAACGTGAAAGAAATTAAAGTATCATGTGAATAATGGAGGGAAAACAGAAAACTCTTTGTGCTCCCCCTCGTTGAGAAAGAGTACTCAGTCACCTTTATGATGCTGGAAAGCCTCAATCCCTGTTCACCAAAGTCCATGTTTAAAACCTGCCATCTCAGCTTCTAATCTAGAAAATTTATAACCAGCAGAAATATGAAACCTCATGGTGTTGAACCCGCAAAGCTCCAAAGTAATCCTGATTACTTGTTATACTCTTGACATTGAAGCTAGCAGAAATACAATCTCCAGGGCCCCTTTCCTTAAGCCTGTCACGTTGCCATAAGAAACCACTAAGACAATGACCCAAACCTACAAACCCAGGTCTACGACCTTTCTTTCTAAACTATTCGAACACTTCAAAGCCTATTATTTTAATGGAGTAATGTTTAAGCACTAAAACATGAAAAACATAGGACTCTATCTCATGCCACTACCAAATGAAAAACCAGAAGCAATACTTTCCTCTGGCTGCAATAAGCAATTTGGTGAAATGCTGAATTTAACGGGGGAACATTACATTTGAAATTTTTTTTTTACATAAAGAATCGTGATTCTGAAAGATAATCCCTGTTCACCAAATTCCAAGTTTAAAAACTGAAATGAGTTTTTATTGAAATCGTGTTGACTACATAATACTCTTGTGGTTTAAAGGAAAAATATTAATGGAATTTATAATTTCATTAGATTCCACCTAATCTAATTTCACTATCACTATTATTCAATTATCAACTCTGAAACACTATCAGAGGAGAAGGTTTACTGTAAACACTTTAACTGTCTTTGCCTCCTCTCTTCGACTTGACCCTTCCAATACTTGTAGTCTGCTATGGCAAGACATGGCTTTGATTACCTTCTGATAAGGATTATACCACTTTTGCAACGTCATTCGTACAGACATTTAATCTCTTTCATCTTGAGACGTTTGATTAAAAAAAATTTCTCTCACTCAAAGAGGAGCTGGCTGATGGCAAAAATAACACACATGCATGCATTTATGACATGATATGGAACATACGAAATGGATGGTGAGAGTGGGGGAGGGATAAACTTTATTGGCCCACGGGGAGAGATGGGGGAACAAGGATGGGCCTGGGAAGAGTGAATATGGGTGGGAAAACTGAAATGGAATGCTTTAAAAAGGTGCACATACACTTTGTAACCTCCACCGTTCAACTCAGAGATAGATATGTACAGTGCCATACAGATAGACTAAAGTGAGTTTCACTTTGTAGTTGATGCTACTGGTAACAGTTCTACCGTTAGCAAGTCACCATTTAATTCTGCCAGAGTCAGACAAGGCTCTCGGGTTAGTGCAAACAAGGTTTTCCATCCTGGGCTGCAGGCTGACCCGCCAGTGCTCAGAAGGCATGCTTGTGATGAACTCGCACACTTTCCAGTTCCCCACCTCCAATGGCGGCCAGGGTCTCCAGCCTGCTTAAACGCTCCAGACTTCTTCCAAGAACTTCTTCTAGCCGACCGCGTATCACCTGGGCCCCTTCTAATTCCACCTGCAGAGTTCGGTCTCTCTCTGAGCTGAGTAAACATGCCACATGGAAGGAAAACGGATTAGCCATCAACTGTAATGAGTCTACGCATACTTCCAAAGAGCCATGATACTTTCTAAAGGATGCTCTCTAGCACACAGTAAGTGGACACAGTTTTTGTTTGGGCACTGTTATCCTTCACTGCGGGCAGATTAGCAAGGCCTGCTCCTTTCTTTAAAGCTTGCCTCTTTATGCTAGATTGTGAGCCAATGTCACATAAAATTATAGTTCCTAAGACTTATCTCATACCGCTATAGCCAACATAAGAGAAATTTTACTTTTTGATGAGTATTAGTTTTGAAAAACCAAAACCCAGGAAAAACTAAATGCAAACTGAAGCAATACTGAGCCAAGGAGGATCGCTATTGAAGATCTGTGTTCTCTCATTTGGTAACCAGACTGGACAGAGCTCTGAGAAGGAATCCAGTTCAGAGAGACCAAAGATCCAGAGATTCTTTAAAAAGTAATACAATCAACTGATCCTATTGTATCTTTCCTCTGCCTTCATTTTCCTAAAGTAGAAAGAAAAACAAGGCTTAAACTGAACAATCAACTAGAAGAAAATGAATAGTAAAAAAATAAAAATTAGGAAAGAGAAAAAGGGACAAGGGCAGAAGGCAGAATGAGAAAAAAAAAAAATAAAGGGAATATAAAATGAACCAGAATGATATAATATATGTGACCCAAAAATCAAGAATACAAGCAAATATATTCACCATGATGGCTATCAGTGATCCTGGGTTGATATTAGCCATCATGGTAAATATATTTTCTTCAATGATACTCGCTGAGTATCAATACCCTTTATATCCTCACTCTTGGAACAGAACAGCCCCTACCAGGACATGGAGCAGAGGAAGGAAAGGAAAACACTGAGTGTTTAGTATACACAAGGCATTATTTTAGACACCTGACAAGTCTTCTCATTTGATCACTGTGTAGCTATATGAGATAGGCGCTATTCCTGACTTAAGACTTAAGCCCTAGGCTCTGAGAGATCCACACACAACAAATGACAAACAAACAAATGACAAACTGAGTAGTCCTAGTAATTGTCTCTGTTTTTTTTCTCCCTGCTTTGAGATCATAAGCATCTGCACCTAAAGAGGAATAGAAGGATAAACACTGCCGTCACTCTCCTACCTCTCTGGATGGGCGTGGAACTTCACCAGACTGCTATAGAGCTGTCTCTCTGCTTGCAAAGCCTCATTGAGCCGACTCCGTTCATCTACCAGCCCTTCGAGCATCAGCAGCAACTGAGGAAAGAGCAGAAGCAATACGCAAACGGACATGAGACATGAAGCACAGCAGATCCTGAGATAGCAGCCAAAGGAATGTACTCGCATGCACTATGACCAAAAAAACTATTTTACTACTTGCTTAAACTTTCTATTATATTTTACAGTTTTCAAATCAATGTCACATTACCTTGTTTTTTAATCTTTAAAACTCTATAGGGCAGAAGTCAAACATGGAAGCAAGAAGAAAGAGGAGAGAGAGGCCAGAATCACAGGAAAGAGCTAAGAGAAGGGAGTGGAAGGGAAAGAGAGGAAGGGCCAGGAGACATACAGTAGGACTTACTGGTACTCTTCATTCACTCAGTAAAGATTTATTGAGCACATTCTATGTGCCAGGCTCTGTTCTAGGGCTAAACTTACTATCTAGTGGGTGGAGGAGACACCATCAATCGCAGACCTGTATCACAGTGAGCTTTATAGTAAGTGCTGTAAAGAACATGAGCCATGATGTATGCAACCAGCAGAGAGGTCTGTTTAAGTGAACTGCTTGAGTTAAAAGCCAGGACTGGAGTGAAACGAGGAGTTAGTGAGAGAGAGGAAAACAAACAGGGAGTACAGGCAAGAAAGTGTTTTTTAAAAGTCTGGCACTGAAGAGAGGTCAGCTATGGGGTAGTGGCTCGAAAGGAAGTACCAATGTTAGGGGCATCTCTTGCTGCTGCTGACCAAGGCAAGGCAACTAACTTAAGAGCAGATTCTCTATGAAGTTCCATCAACAGACCCTTTCAGAGATCACTGAGATTGACAGCTTTTCCATTGTTTGTTTCATAGTAAAAATAAGGTTTATATTCCAAAGACTTACTTGTTGTCTTCGATTTCCTAAAGTTTCTTGACCCTGTGATTCTACTGAAGCAACTTTTTCCCGAAGAAGTAAGACTTCTTGCGTCAGGCGTTCCATAGCTGGTATGTCTTCAGGATCAACCAGTTGCATCTGCAGGTCCTGAAAGTCAAGGAAAAAAACTAGTAATAGGAATACGGGGCACCTGACTGGCTCAGTCAGTGGGGCATGCAACTCTCGATCTCGGGGCTGTCCAGTGCTATTTAGCAGAGGGGGAAAGAAGCAGATGTCCCTGAAATAGTCTGCTCTACTTTCAAGTGGAATATTGATAAGCCATATGAAATAATACATTCTTTGTGAAATCTCAGCAACTCTAATACAAGTCAGAAAGAATATGGTGATATTAAGGGCTCAAACTGACAGTGCATCAAGGAAATAAGGACTGGCCAAGGGACTCAGGGTATCCAAATGTCCTTTGAAGATGCCCTACAGGTATTCTGAGCTGTAATCATTTCCAAGGATCTTGAAAAAGCTGTGAAAGACCTTTATGAGGTCTTCTTTAATCTGTATGTTCCTGGTCAGGGACTCCATGTCGGCAGCCTGCACCTGTAGCTCTTCCTCTTGCACGGCTACCATGGACTGTAGTGCAGAAAGTTCCATCTGTGGAGAGAAGAGATCCTGAAGTCGGTGTGCAGAGGACGCAATATCTGTCACACTCCCATTTTAACACTGAGGCCAAAGTTCTTCCGTATTGTATCACCATGAGCCAGTAATGCAAGTGCCAACTAGAAGATGAATAATAGTGCTCTAGTGGGTCAGATCAATTAACCATGTGGTGTGGTACCAAAGGGTGTTTTATGGGAAGCTGTAATGGTAGCTTTAAGGATGTCCTCCAGTTTAATTGGCACTATAAAACATTTCAAATTTGTTTAATTAATGAGTTTATTATGCTGCTTAAAAAAAATGGGTCACCATGAGCAGATGAGTGAATCCTCCCAACAACCCTAGAGGATCACTATTCTTCTATTCCCCAGTTTACAGAGGAGGTGACTGAGGCGGAGAGAAATTAAGGAACCTGTTCAAAGTCACAGAGCCAGGAAGGGGGAGATCCAGAATGTGAACTCAAGGAAGCAGACTCAGAACATAGAGGTTATAATGCCTTTCCTGCAGATTCTAACACATCCATATATTCTTTATGGTAATGGCAAGTTATTTGTAAGTACACATAGTAAGGAGGCTTTTTTTTTTTTTTAGATTTTTATTTATTTCTCAGAGAGGCAGAGAGGAAGAGAGAGCACAAGCAGGGGGAGAAACAGGCAGAGGGAGAAGCAGCCTCCCCCCTGAGCAGGGAGCCCGATGCGGGGCTTCATCCCAGGACCCTGGAATCATGACCTGAGCCAAAGGCAGACGCTTAACCGACTGAGCCACCCGGCGCCCCATGTAAGGAACTATTTGGAGATAATTAAAGGAAACAGGTGTGACCAAGAAGACAGATGATACACAACTAGTTTAAGGTACAGCCAAGCTTCCTAAAGAAAGCAGCACCTGTTTCTTTAAGAAGGTATAAAATGTAAGTTATGAGTAGTAAAAATTTTACTTCAAATTCCATCAATGATGATAATTCACTATGTGGGCTGGTGATGATTTGTAACTACACAAAGTTATTTGATGTTCTGGGCTCCTCTGGCATGTTAGGAAGAAATGCCTCTCCTCCTATTTCCTTCCATGTTGAAGGACCTCAGTTTAACTCCTGACCTTTCCCCACCCCTTTAGTCAGCCCCAGGCAGGAAAAGGGACTTATCTTAATGGTATGTTGGGGAAGAATAAACCAGGCATGCTTGACTTAGCTCCATCTTTCTTCTTTTTGGGAGGTACCTGCCTGCAGGAAGCCTGCTTTCGCCACTGCTTCTCCAAGAGCAGACTCTTCCTCACCATGTAGAGTGGTCTGCCAAGGCCCAATGTCGTCTGTGACCAGGTAGATAAGTCTACCTAATTCTGGGGATTGGCTAGCATGCCCCTAGGTTCTTGCATTAAGTTCTCTACCTAAGCCTTTATCAGTAATGCAGACGACAAAATACCAAACCATCTGCCACTACTTTGTTTTATCTCTCCGTTTGTTCTGATCTTGGGTAAGGGAAAAGGAGTGCTACTTAGGAGGCCCTCTTCAGAGACCTCTATCATTATATAGCCAGGTATTTGCTCCATATTAGAAAAATTCAAACACGAGGAAGAAAACATTATGGCAGCAAGATAAATGTCTGCAGTCAGGCAAACATGGGTTTTGGGTTTTAAATCTTGGCATAATCTCCCTACAAGACATTTAAACTGAGCTTCAGTTTCCTCAATTATAAAACGGAAATAATACCTACTTTTTAGGGCTATGTGAGAGGAGGCAAAATGTATTTAAAAGTCCCTGGCAGGCAATCAGTGAATGTTAACTATTACTACGATTTCAAGACAGTAGAGAGAATGCTTAAAAATTCAGGAAAATCGACATGGCTTTTGGTATATAACTAATATCAAAGGGAATGTGATAATGAATATATATGGCATTGAACTGAGAGGTTGGTAACTGATTAAGGACACAAAAGTAAGCAATATAGCTAAATATGACTTACTCAAAATAACCATTCATAGCCCTAATTTGATGATCCCCCAAACAATACAGAACCAAAAAGTAGTGTTGCTCTGAATTAAGTATATATGAGAAAAACAGAAACAGCTTATGGAAACCAAAATCTCCAACATGAGTAATCAGATAATGGCTAGAGTGGAACCCCAAAAAAGGAGGGGAGCTAGGGGATTTTTAAAACTGGTATTTTTAAAATGCCACACAATTTCATATCCTCAAAACTTGAGTCATAGAATAGGAGGCTGGTTCTAAGAAGAAACAGAGTAATGAGAAATTAAGAGGTACAGTAAGATAATTTTACCACAAATATGAATACAGGTTTTATATTCTAGATCTAACTCTGGCAAAGAGGTGGGCCAAATCTGAGAAGCCAAGAGGCTTGGGAGGTTGGGAGGATTCACTCATCTGCTCATGGTGACCCATTTTTTTAAGCAGCATAATAAACTCATTAATTAAACAAATTTGAAATGTTTTATAGTGCCAATTAAACTGGAGGACATCCTTAAAGCTACCATTACAGCTTCCCATAAAACACCCTTTGGTACCACACCACGTGGTTAATTGATCTGACCCACTAGAGCACTATTATTCATCTTCTAGTTGGCACTTGCATAGACTAGCCAGGTAAACTTAATGTACTGCTGACCCTCTAAAATAGATGCCCTGGTCACATAGAGCCTTTTAGTTTTAGTTGGTAACTGTTCTGTGGTCCTAATACTTCTTCCACATCACAGCTGAACATAACAATCAGCTGTAAAGGGAGGGAGAAGAAGGGATTCTGTAAGGCTGAGAGGCCTCATCTAAGAAAATTCATGAAAACTCTACTGCTAGAAATACAGCCTAATGGAAAAATGATCTGCTCCAAGTAATGACTTCTTAGCAAGTATTTTGAGTCACAAAAGACCTGAATTTAAATCTTAGCTTTGGTATGTCTTAGTTCTATGGCAGTTCCCCACCTCCATGGTTTGGTTTGGTTTTGTTTTGTTTTTTGAGAGACCTTGCTAAGCAGGTGGGCGGGGAGGAGCAGAGGGAGAGAAAGAATCTTCAATCTCATGCCCTGAGATCATGACTGGGCTGAAATCAAGAGTCAGATGCTTATCTGACTAAGCCACCCAGGCACCCCTTCCTACCTCCATGTTAAAATAAATAAATAAATAAATCTGCATTTCACCTTCTTCATCTATAAAATAGGTCCAATACCACTTAGTTTGCAGAGCTGTAAGCCTTAGTGTTAAGTACCCAGTACAGTACATTGCATATAGCAAGTACTCAATGAATTTATTGATCATTCCCCAAATTCTTCTGTTCCATATTTCTAAAGCTAATTTCATGGATCTAACACCATAATTCTAAGCAGCAATTATATAGTATCTCATTTTTTCACAGATCCTTTATAATTATTCCAGTTAGCAATGGGCAGAGAAAGCGGCCTTTGTCTTTTCAGAACTTAAAAGTTTAATGGTCTCCATTTATAAAAATAAGAGCATCTTTTGAGAAAAAGTGTACATAAAGCAATTTCTATGTTTCTCCAGAAAGAAAAAAAAGCCTTCCTTTGCATTTGGACCTAGCTTTATACTTGGACAACTGTACTCTTTTAAAAATAAACTATTTTGGCATCTCGGCTCTTTCCACAGTTTGACTATTGTGGACATTGTTGCTATGAACATTGGGGTGCATGTGGCCCTTCTTTTCACTACATCTGTGTCTTTGGGGTAAATACCCAGTAGTGAAATTGCTGGGTCATAGGTAGCTCTATTTTTAATTTTTTGAGGAAACTCCACACTGTTTTCCAAAAGTGGCTGTACCAACTTGCATTCCCACCACAGTGTTAAGAGCCGAGATGCCCCTCAACAGACGAATGGATAAAGAAGATGTGGTCCATATATACAATGGAATATTACTCAGCCATCAGAAAGGATGAATACCCAACTTTTACGTCAACATGGATAGGACTGGAGGAGATTATGCTAAGTGAAATAAATCAGGCAGAGAAAGTCAATTATCATATGGTTTCACTTATTTGTAGAACATAAGGAATGGCATGGAGGACATTAGGAGAAGGAAGGGAAAAATGAAGGGGGGGGGAAATCGGAGAGGGAGACGAACCATGAGAGACTATGGACTCTTTTGAGAAACAAACTGAGGGTGTTAGAGGGGAGTGGGTGGGGGGATGGGTCAGCCCAGTGATGGGTATTAAAGAGGGCACGTACTGCATGGAGCACTGGGTGTTATACGCAAACAATGAATCATGAAACACTACATCAAAAACTAATGATGTAATGTATGGTGACTAACATAATAAAATTAAATTAAAAAAAGAAAAGAAAAGAAAAGAAAGATAAACTATTTTGGAAGAAAATAGGAATTTTGAAATTAGGCTCACTAGAACACTCACCCGACTTTCTCTTTCTTTTTTAGCCATGAGCTCAAGTTCTTCTTTGGCATTACTCAGTTCCTTTTCCAGCCCTGCAACTGTGTCCAAGTCTCCTAAAAATGACCACATAGCACTTGTTTTAATCACTATAACATCATATGACCTCTGCCGCTTTGTTTCTGAGGAATTTAGTCTAAATACACAATCTCACAAAGACAACAAAAATATATGCACAGATTGTTCTTTGCAGCATTATTTGTAATAGCAAAATACTGCAATCAATCTACATGCCTATAAAAAGAAGACTGAATAAACTACAGTATATCCATGCAATGAGGTACTATATACAACTCTAAAAAAGAATGAGGAAACTCTTTATGAACTGATACAGAATAATTTCTAAGATACGTTGTTAAGTAAAACAAGTTGGGTACAAAAGAATAAATCTAGTGGAGTCTGTTTTACATTAGGAAAGGGGGAAATAAGGACACACACATACACATCACATATAGACATAGGATTGCTCTCTTACTTTGCAAAAAGAAACATAGGAAGGATAACCCAGAAATGAAATTGGTTGCCTTCGAGGGAGGGGTGAAAACCAGAGAGAAATGTCAGGGAAGTTGATGGGTCTCCTGAGCATACGTTTTTATATATTTGAGTTTTGAACGTTAATATTTATTTTCAATGTGTAAAGTTAGCTCAATAATAATGGGGAAGAAAAAGCCTAAAACTGAATATTAACATAAATAAATGAGCCTATATAATAAAGATAATATAAGCACCCAGAAAATTAAAAAATTAATCCAAATAATTTTTTGAACTCACTATTCTAACTGTATACCCTCAGTGGGAAATACTCTAAGGATTAAAAAAATAAAAGAAGTCTTAAACATTATTTAATAGACTTATTGTTGGTAGTGGTATTCATGTAGCAATTCTAAACTACTTTAGTGTATTGTGCGAATGGGTAAACATATTCATGTTAGAGGTAAGCAGGTTTCTCAAGGTCAAAAAAAGGCAGATACAAATACAAAATAAGGCAAAGAAAGAACCTGTGGTGTTAAATTAGAATTAGAGAAATCAGTATCAAATACACACACACACACACACAAACACACACACCCTTAGCTTTGAGAAATCAGTATCAAATACACATACACACACACACAAACACACACAGCTCTGTTCACCTAAAAGGCCCTAGAAGCAAATGACATACCTGTGGCTATGAACCCATCTCATGCCCAGATATTAGTACCTAAGTGCCATTACCCACTTCAAGGAACCAGAGCTCCTTGAAGTAATGAGCAGTTCCAGGGCTGAGGCAGGGAAAGGGAAAGGTGATCACAGAACATCTTATTGTGCCGGAAAGTGTGGAAATGCTGAAAAACTGATGGTGACGTATCAAAAGGACAGAGGAGCAGCTTGAAGGGGCTCCAATTGGCCAAATCAGGGGTAGTCTGGGCATCAAATGGAATAATGACAGAAACAGATAATAAAATTATTTTTTTTTTAAAAAGAATCCATTAGAACACATTGATATAAAAAAAAATGGAGTGGGGGAGAATAGGGAAAGGGCAGCTCTTTATGAAAGAACAGGTGCTAATACACAAGGAAAAAATTTTAGAAATAGAAATCACTTTTTTAAACTACCACCGTAATTGCTGCTTCAGGCAAGGCCGAGAGGATGCTAGAAGCCCTGGGTGAGTGGCTGTGGGGAGACGGTCAACCTCTCAGGGTGCTGGGCGGCAGGTCACCAACACAAAGGGAGAAATGCAGAGGTCTGGCCGATAGAATCTTAACTAAGGAAAAATACAAACTGCTATCATGTGCTCCTGACATGGTGCACTGAGAAAGACCTCACCCTTGTAGTATTCTTGCCGAAAATGTTTAACTTGAATTGAACCATGAGAAAACAATCAGAGCCAGATTGAAGGCCATTCGCTGGCCCAAAGTTTTCAAAAATGCCAACGTCAAAAAAGACGAAAAAAGGCTAGAAAACTGTTCTAGACTAAAGGAGACTAACGAGACATGACAACTAAATGCATGCATGGTCCCGGAGGGGGAGACCCAACCACTGGGAACGTTCCTGGGACAATGGGAACTCTAGATATGAACTGTACATTAGGTACCAGGACTATACCAAGATTAAATTTCCTGAATGTGATCATTAAACTGTAGTTATGTACAAGAATGCCCTTGCTTTTAGGAAATACATAATGAAGTATTTAGAAATGAAGTGTCATGATATCTAAGTAATTTTTAAAAGGCTTAGAAAAAACTTCCATCTGTGCGTGTGCATGTGAAGAAATAATGCAAATGTGGCAAAATGTTAATAGGTGGTGAATCTTAATAAAAGTCTGTATGTATATTCACTGTAGGATTTTTGCCGCTTTTCTAGAAGTTTGAAATTTGCAAAATAAAAAATTGGAGGTACTTTTTGAAAAAAGGTAGATAGGGAGTAAATTAAACAAATCAAGCATTCTTTACTCTTTGACTGACAAAGCTTTCCTACAAAAAAATAACTACTTGCATGACTTACCTATGGAATTCCATTAATACCTTACACTATAACACAGATACAAACTTTCTACATTCTTCTCCTTTCTTTTTTTTAAAAGTAGCTCCATGCCCAGGCCAGCATGGAGCCCAACATGAGGCTTGAACTCACGACTCTGAGATCAAGACCTGAGCTGAGATGAAGAGTTGGATGCTTATCTGACTGAGCCACCCAGGCGCCCCCTTACATTCTTTAATATCATTAAAAAAATCATAAGTTAATTCTCCAAGTCCACAACCTTTCTTACAGCATTACAATTACCACTATTTCTACAACTCACTGGGTAAATCTCTTCCTTGAAGCTACCCTAGATCCCAACCTTTTGCTCTGTGAAAGTCAGAGACTCTAATCCCCAGCACTCATTTAAGTTTTTCTCCTACTCTTCACAGAATTCATTTGTTTTTAGGGAGTTCAAGGCCTACAATCGTCTCTTAGATGGCTGTGATCTTGGCAAATAACTTAATGTACACTGCCTCCCCCTCCCAACACTGTAATTCAGGTTATGTCAAGTTACTGTGAGTAGCCTCGGCCTGCTTGTAAGATACCCAGGAGAAGGTGTCAGCCCCATTGTCCTGTTGTGTAGGTTGGGAAACACACCTCCTCCATTTCTGAACCCCTGAAAAGCTATCTGGAAAGAATACTCAGGAGGCAGTTTCCCTGAGCCAAACTGTACCCAGAACAATAGTCTCAATTCAACACAATAAGGGTAGTTCTTTCTAGAATAGACAGGTCTTCAGCCTTTCAGGGGCAATCTAAACTTATTTTTTTCCATTAAGGTAGGAAAAGAGAGTCTTGGCCAAACCTATTAACAGAGTTACAGAAAGAAAAGACAGAAGATTCCTTAGTGAAATTAAATTTGATACTTACCTAATGAGGACCTGGGTATACTGGTATCTCCTTTGGCAGTCAACAAAATGCTATCATCTTTGGAGGGTATATGCACTGAACCCTAAAAATTGGAAGAGTCAGGGGATTTAGAAAGGTTACAGGAACCATGATCATAATGACAAGGACTTCACACAATTTGGTATTAAAATGATCACTCATGCCTCAGACACAAAAAGAAAAGGCAGTTGCCATGAACATCTATACAAGCATGTAATTCTTACTTGGTCAGTCTGCTCTCTAAGATGGGGGCTACTGGAGGTAACTTCAGTGGGTTGGTTAGAGATGAGTGCTTGGGACATGAAGTCTTTCCCTCCTAAATACTGGCGCAGGGCCTGTAATTCTGAATTTCTTTCCATCAGGGCTTGTACCATCTTCTCTGCAGTGGCCTAGTTAGGAAATCACACGTACCATTAGAAAGATACTCTAGAAAACAAAATTTGTGTTCTGAAGTTATTCGTTAAAAGTCAACTGTTTATGAAAAGCCAGTGGGGGCCCCCCAAAATAGTTTCCTTGCTTTCAGTTTACAGGGAAAAATAGCTGATGAGTGGAAAGAAAGTCTCTCAGAGAAAGAACACTGGAAAAACTGAATATAACACATCTGTTACAGATCAAACAACCTGAAATTGGCTCTGCCAGAACTCGATCAGGCAGAGGTATTAAGATTCTGGTTTGAAGTGGGATAGCAGATGTCCTTTACCCTGGGATACGTGTGCCTTTGGCCTGGATGTTCTTTACCCAAACATTCGTTTGGTTTGCGCCCTTTACATCTTTGCCTGCTGATAACTTATCAGATTGGCCTCCTCTGCATATCCTATCTAAAACAGCCATCTTTTCTCTACTCCCAGGTCTCTTTGTCCTGCTAAGTGTTTACAATGCACTTACCATTATCTGATATATGTTCATTGTCTATCAACTGGATGTAAGTTTCCTAAGGGCAGGTTCTATGATGTTTTCTTCAGCGCTGAATCACAAGCACCCAGAACAGTGTCTGGCACGTAGTAGGCACTCAATGCATATTTATTGAATGAATCAATTACACGGAAACATTTTTATCAGACCATACAATCATGAGAATCTGAACCTCAAAACCACCAAACCCAGTTTATTTAATTTCAAATCCCAGTTTTCTAAGACAGATGATGGCACAATAAGGAAAAGATCTAGAACATTGTTTGTGACCATTACCACATAGGAAGTCTGCATTTAATCAGAAAATCTGGAAACAATAAACTCAGACTAAAATTACTGGGGATAAAAGATGATGAATCAGAGGGCGCCTGGGTGGCTCAGTCGTTAAGCATCTGCCTTCGGCTCAGGTCATGATCCCAGGGTCCTGGGATCGAGTCCCACTTTGGGCTCCCTGCTCGGCGGGAAGCCTGCTTCTCCCTCTCCCACTCCCCCTGCTTGTGTTCCTGCTCTCGCTCTCTCTCTCTCTGTCAAATTAATAAATAAAAAAAAAAATCTTTAAAAAAAAAAAAGATGATGAATCAGTACTGTATTAGCTGTATCAGCATCAACTGGGGACAATTACTACTGTTTTAATGAGAAACTGAGCTCTTGTCATAATTTCTAAGGTAAATAAAAGAATAACCTTACATTTTTAGTAAGTAAATTTTGGGCTCTTCAAGGATTTGGACATAACCATCTTAGAGGTTAACACTACATTATTAGTTTGCCTGAATAAAAATCTGCAGAAGTTACTATGGGAAAAAACATAATAAATAACATATAAGATCTCTTCTGTATATGTATATATGATCTATCTGGCTTGGTATTCTTTTTCTAGCAGTGTTGTTTTTAGCAATGGTTCTCCAACGTGGCTTGTGGACCGGCAGCATCACCATCACCTGAAAGCTTGTTAGAAATGCAAATTCTCAAGTCCTATCTATACCTCCTAATTTCTGTCCCCAGGAGTAAGCCTGGGAATCTGTGTTTCTAAAAAGCAATCCAGGGGTAATTTCTCCTGCATATAAGATTTAAAAAGCAGATGTAGAATACAACCACTACGCTTTTTCTTGAGTTAAATCAATTTTTTGTAGTTTAGTCATCTGCTAGCTTCTACTTCTTTACTATCAGGAGTGTATAATATTTCTTTCTGAGGTGAAATAAACTAATTCAAGTTACAAAGGGGTTAAAAAGAACACTCATATAAAGACGTCTTTTAGCCTCCTGCCAAAGACTTAAATAATTCAGTGATTTTGTTAGGTCTTCTCTAGAAGCAATTTCTGCAGCTCATGGCAGAATGTTTCTAAGGAAATGTATATTCACTTCAGTGGACCTAAGGATTAGAAAAGAGGATTATAACCATCCAATGATATAAGGAAGCATTAGAGAATATTATGGTCAAATAACAAAGACAAATGAAAAGAATCTAGTCCTCCCTGAAACTGGCTGGGGGGGGATTGTGGGTGACTGGTCCCTGAAATGCAGCACACATCTCTAGCCTTGAGGAGAAAGATACCTGGGAATGAGCATAAATTAAAAATTGACTTTTGAGGGGCACCTGAGTGGCTCAATCAGTTAAGTGTCTGTCTTTGGCTCAGGTCATGATCCTGGGGTCCTAGGATAGAGCTCCCAGCTCAGCAGGGAGTCTGCTTCTCCCTTTCCCTTTGCCCCTCCCCCAGCTCCTGCTCTCTCTCTAATAGATAAAATCTTAAAAAAAAGTAAAATCTCTTAAAAAAAATTGACTTTTGAAATACCTGTGTACCAGTATTGTAAGATTAATATATCCCATGTTACTATAAATTATTTATTCTCATCATGGCCTTTGAAAAAAACACAATCTTTTTTCTCTTAAGATAATTCAGATTTTAGGGGCACCTGGGTGGCTCAGTCGGTTAAGCGACTGCCTTCAGCTCAGGTCATGATCCTAGAGTCCCGGGATCGAGTCCCGCATCGGGCTCCCTGCTCAGCAGGGAGTCTGCTTCTCCCTCTGACCCTCCCCCCTCTCATGGCTCTCTCTCTCATTCTTTCTCTCAAATAAATAAATAAAATCTTAAAAAAACAAGATAATTCAAATTTTATAAGAATTAAGAAAAAATATGTCAAGTGTAAGTTTTCCCGTAACTTGGCTAAAAATAGAAAATATCACGAGTCTTGAGAATTTAGAATCAAAATCAAAACACTCCAGAACCCTGTATTCCCTTCTGTCAAAATTATCAGAATATTAAAGAAAGAAAATGTACAGAATGAAGTTAATGGGTACGTGTGTTGTTTGGGCACCCTTCTCAATGCAAAGTGCCTAAAAATCTTGCATGCTCTGATGACCGATGTAAAACCGTAGTCTAGGTAACAGACTAAAGAACCCCTAACAGAATGAACTGCAAAATGACACACACATACACACTACAATGTTCAAACGCTCCCTATTCCCAGACTATAAATGCACTACACTCTTCTGGTCTCTGCATTAGTCCTTACTTGGCTCTCCTGCTCCCTGGTGCTCAGAGACTGAAGCAGGCCTTGAATCTCGAGTTCATGTTCCACTGCTTGCTTGTTTCGATCGCTCAGGAGTTCCTGCAGCATCCTTTCCTTTCGCTGTAGGCGCCGGCACAGGTCCTCTGCTATCTCACTCTGTCCCGGTCCCAGCTTACAGAGCAACGTGGCACTAAGATCCTAATACAGAAGGGACACTGTAAGTTCTGGGGGTAAAGAATTCCCTCTACTACATATCAAGGGGTTTATAAGAATCTGTTTTATTTTTCTTTAAATTTTTTTATTGTTATGTTAATCACCATACATTACATTATTAGTTTGTGATGTAGTGTTCCATGATTCATTGTTTGTGCATAACACCCAGTGCTCCACGCAGAACGTGCCCTCTTTAATTATAAGAATCTGTTATAGAGGGGCGCCTGGGTGGCTCAGTCGTTAAGTATCTGCCTTTGGCTCAGGTCATGGTCCCAGGGTCCTGGGATTGAGCCCTGCCCGCATCGGGCTCCCTGCTCCACGGGAAGCCTGTTTCTCCCTCCCCGCACTCCCCCTTGCTTGTTTCCCTCTCTGGTTGTGGCTCTGTCAAATAAATAAATAAAATCTTAAAAAAAAAAAAAAAAAAGAATCTGTTATAGAAGAAAGAGCTATGAGATTCTGGAGAACAAGTATCATGTTTTATTCACTTTTGTTTCCCCAGATCTCGCACAGGCCGGGTACACAGAGGGCTGTAAGTACATGCTCAACGAATGAGCACTTAACAATACAGAAAAATACTTATAATGGCAACTTACATATTGTTTTCTGAAGTAGGCCCTTTCCTTATTTGCTCAGGGTACATAATAATCATTATTAGATGAGATGAATGGACATGCAGTCCATGTATTTATTTTCTCCCCAGTATAACTTTTGTAAGGGAAACACAAAATAATAAGCTCTAAAGGAATAATGAGCACTGTATTTCTCAGCATGGTGATGAAGTTCCTACTTCTATACTGAGAGGTTGTAGATGGTGGTTAAAACTGTGGAACCACAGTGCCTGGGCGGCTTATTGACTCTGTCACTTATTAACTATGTTACTTTGGACAACTTATTTCATTTCAGAAGTCTGTTCCCTTGTCTGTAAATGAAGGATAATAATATATACCTCATAGACTTGTCAGGATTCAGTGAGTTAACATTCATTAAGCAATTATAACAGTGCCTAACAAGCATGAGCACCATCACTAATAAAGGTTAGCTATCACATTATAGGTGGATGTTTCGGTTCTCATTAATTCTCACATGACTTAATTGAGAAAGATAATTGTCACCTTGAGTTTAGAGGTAGAGGAAAAAAAGTCCCAGTGAAAGCCAATGACTCACCCAGGCACAGGATGGAATTTAAGACTTGGGTCACTGGCCCCCCAGACCTAAAGAGTCCCAATCCAAGACTGAGATTATATAATCACTAAACCAACTGCCACTAAACCAATTAGCTAAAGTCTTGCCTCCACTTCTTTGTTCCTGTCATGCAGAGATGTCTGTAACTGCTGAATGATACTTTCTTGTTCCTTCTGCCAATGGCTAAATTTGGTTTCCCTTTCTTCTTTCAGCCATTGGAGGTTTTGACAGGTGGCAGATAACTGCTCTACTTCCAGGCCTTTGGCCCTCAGGAGACTCTCCATACTCTACAGTAACAGAGAAAGCAATGACAAGTCAAAGGTCCACCCCACACTCCCCAGGATAAATAAGAAACTTCATCCACCTTCAAATTATCTCCTAAAGTATCAATTTTTTGCAAAAGGAGAAAACTTAGTAACTAATCTAACAATGCCATACTAATCTTTTCTTTGGTTTTAGAAACTCTCATCTAATTTGTTTAGAGAAATAAAAATGAAGCATTTTTGAGGAGGCAGGCTGTGCTACATAGGAAGTGAAGGACTTCTTTAAGAAGTGGAAGATGCCTAAATATATAAGCTCTAAAATACATATCCAAAAACAGCCCACAGTAAACATTAATAATCAAGTGTTCTGTGGCTATACAAGGATATGCATGTAATATTAATGAGAAAACAACAGTATAACAGTCATATCCTGGCAATGCTTATGTAAAAGTATATAGATATTGACAAGGATTAGAAACAAATCAGGGGTGCCTGGGTGGCTGTCGTTAAGCGTCTGCCTTCAGCTCAGGTCATGATCCCAGGGTCCTGGGATCAAGCCCCACATCAGACTCCCTGCTCAGTGGGAAGCCTGCTTCTCCCTCTCCCTCTGCTTGCTGCTCCCCCTACTTGTGCTCTCTCTCTGTCAAATAAATAAAGAAAATCTTAAAAAAAAAAAATCAGAAAGGATAGCTAGAAATCCATATTCACTACTTCCCCCTACAAAGTCCACAGCAGAAGTACTAACATTTCTCACTTCCTAATCTACAATGATGATAACTATTTTTGTTATTTTCATATTTCTTTTTCTTCTAAAGCAAATACCTTGGTTTTCAGAAAATGAGAGAAAGGGTTGATGCTTCAGGCTTAGCATCCAAGTGGGAGAGAGATAACAACCGTGGCAGACTGCGCTCTTACCTGCATGGTAGCTTCATTAGAGGAGAGAATACCACGCAATCTCTCTAAGTCATGATCTCGTTCTCGCACGGCGAGATGAAGTTGACGCAGTTCTTTTTCTTTCTCTTCCAGAGTGGAGAACTTTTCATCTATAGCCCGCTGCAAGGAAAGTAAGGATCCTAAAGCTCCTTAGGATTCACTATTGTGATCACACTTATTCAATAAAAATATAAAGGAAGGGAAGACCAACTCCAAAAGGCAGCATATTAAGTAGACACATATTTCTAAGTACCTATGTGAACAGAATAATCCATAGTGCTGTAAACAAAACTAAGTTGCATACCTCTAGAGCAACATCTCGATCTTGTATTCTCTGCCGAAGTTTCTCAAGCAACATTTCATCTGCTTCAAGGGTTTTGTCTGACTTATCTCGATATTGCAGGAGCTCCCGAAATTCCTAATGAGACCAAAAAATATTTCCCTTTATTCATTTATCCAATATTCATCGAATTCCTACACTTTGCTAAACAATTTGTTATTCATGATAAAAAAAACAAAATGTTATCACTCTCGAGGAAAACACAGGTTAACAGAGATAACAGATAGACATACAAATTGTTATTGTACACATGTGTATACGTGTGTGTGTGTACACATTATGTATATGGGTGTGTATGTCTGCATAGCTAGCTAGCTACTAGTGGAATACAGGATGCACTGTCTAAATCTGCCTGAAGGTGTCACTAAAGATCTCACAAAAGAGGTTACATTTGCTCTGAGTCTTACAGTACTGGGAGTTTCCCAAGTGAAGAGCAGGTGGGGGTATTTCTACCAGAGAGAAAATGTATGCACAATACATGCACACTATGAAAAAACTATGCTCATCAGAATGTAAGAGATTCAATAGGACTGAAGCTTAGAGCAGGAGACTGATCACAGTCTTCTTCAGTGTTCCAAATTTTCCCTCCGACATTCATTTTATCATGTAAGCAACTGGAAATTTCTATATGTCTTCACCTACTAGACTGAGAACAGTGGTCATATCTTCTGTCTTCCCAGCACTAGCATAGTATCTGGTTCACAGAGGTGTTTAATAACTACTTGCTAAATATTTATTGCTTAAGTCTTTCAGGTCTGTATTTATTATTTCCTACACTTGCTGGTTAGCATTGTGGTTCATGAATTGTACTTTCTACTTATTTTGGATCCTCCTGGTTCCCACCTCTCAATGTTCTACATGTAACGGGTACGCAACACAGGTGGACTAATCTGAGATTACATGAACAGAACTTTCAGAGCTCTGTGAGCCCAGTTTCAGTTAAAATCATTACGTAGACTCACCTGAAGCAGCTGCTCTTTGTGACTCAGACTGTGGTTTAGGTGCTGAATGTGTTGATCATGGGTTCTAATCTCGTTGTGTTTTTCAGTCTCCAGGGTACGAAGCTGTTGGCTCTTACTCTGCAATTCTCCTTGGAGCTGCTGCAAGGCTTTTCGTAATTCCTGAATTAAACAGATTCCCTTTTTCAAACAATCTAAAATTTTCACCTGGTTAGTAGTGAGGCCTTAAAACTTTCAAGGCATACAGAATAAAATATAAAGTAGCAGGAAAATGCCATTCTTACAATTACTTTGGAAATATTATACACGAACCAAACAGGATATGGGAAATTGTGGGAACTGTGAATGGCAGTAAGATGTAAATTTCATATTATATAGTTCAATACTTACTCTCTAGTTTAAAAATGATAGCTCTATATAACTACTAAGCAGAACTCTGTCCCACTGTAACCCTGGATAAGCTCAAGGACAGAATATGTCTATCATCCTTTCACATCTTAAAAAAAAAAATGACAGCATATGCTCTAATGTAACAAGATAAAGGAACCACCTAAGAATTTTTTTTTAAAGATGTGGCTAATTGTGCATGCCATTCCTTTGAGTTGGTTATTGGTTCCCACTATTCTGTCTTGCTAATCTTTACCCACCCTTCAAGAAGAACCCCTGATAGCTCCTCCTCCATGAAGCTTTCCCTGCCTCCCTTCCTCAGCCCCTCCTATATATTCCAATAGAACCCAAACATACCTCCTTTACCTCATTTCAGTATTTACACTAAAATTGTTTATGTGACTGTCTCATACTAAACTACAAGGAACTTAACAGGAAAGAGCCTGTGATACTGACTCCTGTATTTCCAGAACACAGCCCAGTCTCTGGCACATGATATGAGGGCAATAAATGTCAAATGAATTACTTTGATTAAGCAAGTGACTCAAGGATTCAACACAAACTGTCCTGATAAAAAGTTATTATCAGGGCAAAGTCAGCATCTCTGGCCACAAAACAACTGCCAGTTTACCTGGTTATGTTTCCAAGATGCCTCTTTCTGCTGTTCTCTTTCTTGGGCAGCAGCCTCTACAAATTGCACACATCGTTTGGCATCAGCCAGTTGGCGTTCTTTTTGACGTACTACCCTCTGGAGTTTCTGTATTTCAAGCTGGCTGTAGAACAAAGCACTCTGAAGATCAAGCAGAGCCACCTGTTGCTGAGCTGGGGAAGTACCCTCTGAGTTCTGAAAAAAGAGGAAAAACCAAAATCACAAGGTGGGCAAGCACCAAGCAGCTGAGAAGACCAACAAAAGCAAAATTGTGACTGAATGTGGCACTTCCTCAACTGGAGTCTCGCCTCCTGTCCTATGTGACCCTCACATACATGAAGTTGTCCAAGCTGGCTTTGATGCAGCATTTCTCGAAGCTTTGCCATTGTGTCATTTTGACCTTCAATCACCTGGTACAACTCCTCGGTCTGAAAATGAGACAGGGAGTACCGAACATATTAGTAAACTAAAAATAAATTCCATTCTCACCTGTACAGATTTTAGAAATACCAATTTAAAGATTTTTTATTTATTTGACAGAGAGAGACATAGCGAGAGAGGGAACACAAGCAGGGGGAGTGGGAGAGGGAGAAGCAGGCTTCCCGTGGAGCAGGGAGCCTGATGTGGGGATCGATCCCAGGACCCTGGGATCATGACCTGAGCCGAAGGCAGATGCTTAACGACTGAGCCACCCAGGCACCCCTAGAAATACCAATTTAGATTACACTACGATTTCTCTAGGCTAACATCTGTTAGTCTGACAATCTGTTTCTACAAAATATAGAATACATGTCTACTTTGATGGAACAAATCATTTCCTCACACGTCCCTGACTACCAAATATTTACCTCATTTTCCCTGCTCTTCAGAGTTTCCTTGAGGCTTTGAATTGTACCGTCTTGCTTCTGAGATGACTCCTGAGCAGACTTGAGTTCACAGCTCATTTCATTCAGTTTCTCTTGAAGAATCTGAATTCGGCAAAGAAAAACTGTTAGGTCAATTTCTTTTAACCTCTAAATCAACTAGAAAGTCCTTCCTCAAATCTAGGTTTAAAGGATTTTCTAGAGAATATTACCTTGTTAATTTTTTCCCCACATGTAGTAACCATTAAAGCCCTAAATCACTCATTAAGACAAAGTAGCAGGAAATATGAAATACTTCATTCAATATTCAACTGCTTCAATTCTCATGTACTGTGCTTTCTCTGTAATGGGCAGCTGTACTGGGCACTTGTCGACATGAATCACTGTGGATTCTATTTTTTTTTTTTTTTTTTGAGAAAGAGAGAGTGCATGCGCACGCGCACACTTGCAGACTTGGGGTGGGAGTAGGGGCAGGGAGAGAATCTTAAGCAGGCTACTGCCCTGCACAGAGCCCACTGCGGGGCTCGATCACACCACCCTGAGATCATGACCTGAGCTGAAATCAAGAGCCAGACGCTTAACTGACTGAGCCACCCAAGTGCCCCTCACTGTGGATCCTTTATACAAAGACCCCTAAGGAGCTCTGTTATCTAGGACAGGACGGAACACTACAAGAGTACATAAGGCCAGAAGCTCAACATTCAAACTGTGGGCACTGATAAAATTTTCTTCTAAGCAAATGTTAGACACCTTGGGCTCTAAAGGGGTAAGAAGTTAAGCTAAAATCAAAAGCATAAACCTCCTATCTTGGTGCCTTATAGAGTTAAAGACTACATTCAAGTTTTAATTACAGATCTAAAAGGCACCAGAAATTCTGATCTGTGCACAGCAGGCTAAAATCTTGATGAGAGATAAAGAAAGGAAAGAACTACATTTTTAATCAAAAATATTCCTTAGAGCAACAGGAATACACAGTATCCATCTCCCAAGTCCTACGCAGAGAGGTTAAGAGCCTCAGCTAGAGCCAGTCACAACCTCAGGAAGCCCTGTGATCTCCAAGGGCCTGGACTGATCATACCTTGTTGGTGGCCTCCGTTTGCTGGATTTTTTCCTGGAGTTCTGCCAAGTGGGAATCAGATACAGACTGCTGAGTTATAATGGTCTCATCTGAATTCAGCTTTTGTTGTTTGAGTAACTCTTCAGTCACAGGCTTGGAAGAAGCAGCAAGACAAGTAAGTTGAGTTAAATGTAGCCAACAATAAATTTTATCTTCAAATGTCTCTGGCATCTTTTGGCAGAGACTTAGAAAACAAAAATTGTTACACCGATTATCAGTACAAATTCCTGAAGACAGTTCTGTTCCTTATTGAGTACTGATTTACTTCCACTCTTAAGATACCCCCCTACTCCCCTTCCTATCTTTCCCTGTGAACTCACACAAACACTACGTATTCAGTTAAAGCAAATAATTCATAGTTTAAACAGAAGAGAGGATTGAAAAATGAAAATGCTTAAGATGACCAAATATGCACTTTATCCTATTTCTAATCAGGGAATTCAATAATCAAACCTCTACCAGCCCTTAGAGCTAGAAAAGGTACATTTCGACTATGCCCGTTCACATAACTGGAAAAATGGGCAGATTTTGAATATGGACTATACAGTATATTTTATCAATACCGTATTTCCTCAATTTGGTAATTATACTGTAGTTATGTAAGAGATGTTCTTGTCTTTAGGAAATATATGCTTATTTAGTATATAGACTCATAATATCTGCAACTAATTCTTAGATGGTTCAGGAATAAAGAAAATAATGTGTCTATATAGACAGTGGGAGTGAAACAGCAAATGTAGCAAAATATGAGTAATTGGTGAATCTGGATAAATGCTAGCAATCTGCGAATCTGGGAGTTCCTTGTATTTGTCTCATGACTTTTCTAAAATTAAAAATGATTTTGAAATAAAAAGTAAAAAAAATTAAAAACAAATTTCAAAATCCATAATGGTCTGGGAAGGAGGTATGTTTATAGGAATATCAAGTCACCAAAAAGATTCAGGAGGAAAAAAAACACATATTGTTTATATAATGTAACAATAAATCAGGCTAAGATAAACCTACTGAACTGGACCTAACATTCATTATGAGCTAAGGGTACTAAAATAAAACTGTAGGCATTCACTGTGGCATTAAAATCCATCTCCTTTCTCCCTGACCCTTCCTACTCACCCCCCACACCCATTCCAATTAGGAAAAATATAAATCCATTAGGAAGGGAAAAAGGCAACTGCTGTTCATTTTCCCTTTCCCTCACACTTTCAAACTCTGACTACCACCTTCTAGGCAGTGGGATTAGAGCTTCCCTTAATGCCTTCCTGCCAGCAACTGACTGAAAGTATAAAGCTTTCAGAAAAAAAAAGTTTTTTATTCTTCCAATGCTATTTATCAATTTTTTAAAACATCTGTTAAGTATCATAATATGCAAAGCACTGTGGGAGTTGGGAGTGAGGAGCTATATAATAAAGGAATAAGGAAATACACAAAATACCAGATAGTGACACACCCTATGTTGTAAAACAGAAAAGCATTATAGAGTGGCAAAGTTACTATAAGTTGGTTGACCAGTTACAAACTGGTTAAATGGAGACCGGCAGGACAGAAAGCCAATCCTGTAGAACAATCTAGGCAGAAGGAACAGCTAATGAAAAAGGCTTACAGTGGCTATGAGCCCAGGACAGAAAGGTCTATGTGGTTAGAGTAGCACTTTCCAACAGAAATATAATGTGAGCCATGTATGCAATTTAAAATTTTGTAGTACCTTCATTGACTAAAGTAAAAAACAGATGAACTCAATTTCAATAAAATATTGCATCTGAGCCAATATATTATATCCAAAGAATTATCATAGATAAAAATTATCAACCAAGTATTTTACTTTCCTTCATACTCAGTCTCTGAAATTCGGGGTGTACTTTATACACACAGCATATCTCAATTCAGGCCAGCCGCATTTCAAGTTTTCAACAGCCACATAAGCCTGGGGGCTACCTTGCTGGCTAGCACAGGGCTAAGGCCTACCGAGCACCGACAAGAGGAAGCCAGGGGCCAGGTCATTCAGAGCTTCTACAACAGGGTTAAAGAAGCTGGAGTGCATTCTCATTGAAATGAGAATGGACTGCAGTGTTTTTAAAAAAGAAAAGTAATGCAATTGTATTTATATTTTAAAAAGATCACTATAGCTGTGGTGATTGGACTGGGGAGGCCAGTAGGAGCAGGGAGACCACACAGGAGACTGCTTCAGTACTATAGGTGAAAGAGAACAGTGGCTGGGATGATAGTGGTAGGAATGGAGGGGGAGAGAAATAGATCTATTTGGACATGTTTTGAAAGAGGAGTCAACAGGGCTGGAGAGGGAGAAAGAGAAAAGAAGCAAAGATGACTCCTAGAAAAACTGAGATATTTGTTGCTGTGGGTATAACAGGCAGCCTTGCCCTGAATCACTGTGAATTATGTCATGCCATGGGAGAAGTAACTGTATGAACAGATATTCACAACAATTCTAACTGATAAAGAAATAATTTTATCATTTATTTAATGATAAAACATTCTCTACAAAACTTGGCTTCTCAGTTCCTCACTGTAAAACACCTTTCCAGTGATATCTATTATAAATATTTTTCCAAATTTAAACCATAATAAGCAGAATTCAAGAAAATAGCTTCAAGTTTAAAATGGCAGGGAAGGTGGTCCTATTTATTCACTTTATTTAAAAGACTTTATTTGAGAGAGAGAGAGAGAGAGAGCAGGAGCACAGAGGTAGAGTGGGAAGGAGAAGAAGACTCCCCACTGGCAGAGAGCCTGATGTGGGGCTTGATCCCAGGACCCTGAGATCATGACCTGAGCCAAAGGCAGACACCCAATGGACTGAGCCACCCAGGCGCCCCTATTCACTTTAAACCAAATAATCTCAGAGTTGTGAAGGAAACTTTATAGTTTATATTAGACCAGATAGTCTAATCCCATCGTACATTGGAAGAAACGGAGACTTAGAGAAGATAAGGAACGTCTGAAGCTACACAGGAAATCAGGAAAAGGATCCAGTTAAACCAGATGCACTGAAGCTGGGAATGTATCTTTCAATCTCTATAAACCCACTGGCTATCATATTGCCTGGAATATTGTAGGGACTAAAAGTTTCTGTTTAATAGGAGAACAAGAAAAAAAAAACACAAATAAAAACAGGCCTGTCTCTTAATGCCCAGTCCAATGCTCTAATCCTTCGGTGGCTCTTTAGAAATAAGACCAGATAGATAGATATTTAACAAAGACATTTCAACAGCAACTTTAAACCCAAAGAATACCACAGAACAGTACATGACGAATGTGATTTAATCTGAACCCATCTTGGCATTAATAATCGCAGGAAATCTCTAAATCTGTAAATGTAATGTACTGACCTAAAGGCTGGAAGATGTTTGTTTCATCTTTATTTATAACACTTTATTATTGAACATCTCAGAAAAATGTCCTTTCAGACAGCGGTGTGTCTGCCAAAAGACCACTTAGCAAAGTCCCCTGAGTTAATGGCTCAGAATGAATTCTTGAGAAATATCAAGTACATAAACCAATATTTCCTAAGACAATTTTATAAAACCTGAAATCAGTAATACTCAATGTGGCTGAATCAGTGCTAATTGCCAGACTATAGGTTACTAAAATCATGTTAACGATACTAATGTAATTTTAAATTAAACTGTCTTTGACTCATTTAGGACAAAAGCTTCCCAGCATCAGAAAAGAGAATTGCTTCCAGGCCTGATGTTGCATAAAATAAGACCTTTAGCCTAAAAAGGCAGTTATTTAGATCTGTGTTAACAGCATTTTTCTTGGCACCTCCTAGTCCTCACAATAGCCAAGTCTTAGATCTGGAACTGCTGTGGTTTTCTATCCTATTGTTAATAATGGGAGATACAAAAGGGCTATCAACTAGCATAAAATTAAAGGCCTAATCTTTGAGCAGCATCTAATGCCTACACCTTCCAAAGGGCCTGATCTAGGTTATGTAGCTAAACTGTGAGAGGGATAAATACTCCATAGCCACACAGGGGCAGACCCTGGTGTTGCAAGGTTTAGAGCAAAGATCTCCTGCTCTGTGAATTTAGATAGAAAAGGAAATTGCACATGAGCCAGAGCTGAACTGATGTTTACTAAGTGACCACACCCCTCCTATCATCTCTTCTAGTTCAGGGCCACACAATAAAGGAAATTACCAGCTAGAATAAGGCTTCAATCTCTTTCTTTAGATATTTAAACTACCTTGGGTTTTCAAGCGAAAGTTCTGTGGAAAGCAAATAAGTCAATTTGCATAATGCCAGAAAATTAGTGGGCAGGAGTACTACACTGTTGCTATTTTTCTTTAATATAAAAGGGGCGCCTGGGTGGCTCAGTCGTTAAGCGTCTGCCTTCGGCTCAGGTCATGATCCCAGGGTCCTGGGATGGAGCCCCGAATCGAGCACCGCATCGGGCTCCCTGCTCAGCTGGGACCCCGCTTCTCGCTCTCCCTCTGCTGCTCCCCCTGCTTGTGCTCTCTCTCTGTGAAATAAATAAATAAAATCTTAAAAAAAGAAAGAAGAGAAAGAAAAAAAGCAATCAGAAGGAACTCTGATGATGACATTTAATAGTGTATAGAATAGGTACGTGGAGGATTAAACAAAGGAATCAAAATGACCTTACAGAACAATCTTGCTCTTTAGGATGGGAGCTGTTCTTTGTATTTGTAGTAGAATTTAACCAAAGAAAAAATTTTTTCTTTCATGGTTTTTTCTTTCTACAACCTAAAAACATAAGTACCAAACTAATTTACATTGATTTCTACTCTTTCCACATTTATTCAGAGAAAGAGACAAAAACCAGTCTGCCTTTGTCCCAGTTAGCTCTGTTCAGACATAAAGCACAACAGGCCCTAAGGAGCTTAAAAGTCAACCAGATTTAAACAAAAGATCAGAGACCCCTAGTACAGATTTTATTTACAAACACCCTGAGCCCAATTTAATCTATTTCCCCCCACATCCTTAATTATTGGAGAAAGTGGCACAGCAATTAAATGCCATTATTCTTTAAGCTGAATGTTTTCTCCCTCCTCTCAATGTTTTATTATTCTGCAAACAGTAAAAAGAATGTAAGCCAAGTGACAGCAGAAAGATTACAAA